AAATTTCTTAGCGCACAATTGTCCGATTGAAACAATTTTGATATCAAACAACAGAAGAAAACTTGACGAATTTATTGATACCAAAATTGTTTCAATCGGTTAATTGCACGAGCATCACGTAGTCTAACTTTAAACGCATTTTTCTCGTCATCAGTTTATAATGACGGCCGGAGCATCGCGTAGTCTAACTTTGAACGAGGCTTTCTCGACACTGGGTTAGGCTATAATGCTCGTTTAGATATCAAAAAATAGCTGAAATTCAGGGCTATTTTTTTGATACCAAATACGCATTTTTTGAAGGTACAGGCGCTTTGAAAAAAATGAAATACTAAAAAACTTCTGCGACTACGCAACTGTACGAGGGCGGTGGGGTACTATTACAGTATTTACGGTAATAACTCACCAAATCCAGCAATATCCAAGACTCCGATATAGCTATTTGTATTATTGAAAGGAATCGATCGATTGATCGCACCGACAATCCAATCGAAAAGACGAGAGTAGATTGCTTTCGCGAGCGCATCTCGAGCTGCCGATGCTTCTGATGGCTTTAATGGCACTCTAGAATATAGGAAATTTTGTAAACCAGACATAAATTATCAATCGCTTTTATGGTAGCTAAAAATCTCTTCATTTAGCTCGATTTAGCTCATTATTTAGCTCGATTAACTGATTTAAACTCATATTTGAACCTCATCATTTAACATTTTTAAAGGCTCAAAGTAAATTAATGTTTGTAAAGACTTTAGAAAACTTAACAAATCAATTTTTATGGCTTAAATGAAGAAGCAAAAAAGTTTTGTGAGTGAGAGGATTCGAACCAGGGAGTTGGAAGCAGGCAAGTCCAGATTGCTAGCACACTATCCAGTAGACTATTGAGGCAGACCCTCTGGTCCGGCGCGAACGCATTAAGTAGGCTAGCTTGCTGTTTGGGGAAATTTGCCAAAACTTTGAAGGTTTATATCTCGAGAACGGCTGATGATAAATAGAATTTGAAAGCAGTTTTGGGATGCTCATAACCAGGAGATGTTTACAGCTTGGAATCACTCTTGAAATCAGATCTCTTCTGAAATCAGGTCATTCCTGAAATCAGATCGTTCTCTGCTCAGATTTTCAGAAATTTCAAAATCGAATCCCTTATCAAAAGATTGCGAAAGACTTTCGAAAATCTATTTGATGAAATAGGATTCGAAACGTCAAAAGCATCAAACTCTAAAGTGTTTGGGATTGATTTTTGTATGGCAAAGGCTTATTTGGTTTATATGGGTTGTTTGTCTATTTTTTTCGATTTTGTTGGTACGAAATCACACGAAACTTAGTCAAATTTGCATAAAACTTAATAAAAAAATCTATTTTTATAGGTTTAAACAAATAGAACCCTTATCTTAAAAAACAAAGAGGCACTTTAAGTTGTTTTGTGCAAATTGCTTAAAGTATTTGAACCTAGAAAGAAAAGAAAAGAAAAGAAGGATGCAGAGAAGAATGCAGAAAAGGATTGGGAAAAGGATTCAAGGATTCAAGGATCCAGGAATCCAGGAGAGCATCCAGGAATCCAGGAGAGCATCCAGGAATCTAGGAAAGCATCCAGGAATTCAAGATCCATCAAAGAAGGATCCAGAAGAGGATCCGGGAAACCAAGATCCATCAAAGAAGGATCTAGAAGAGGATCCAGGAATCCAAGATTCATCAAAGAAGGATCCAGGAAAGCATCAGGAATCCAGGATCCATCAAAGAAGGATCCAGGAAAGCATCCAGGAAACCAAGATCCATCCAAGAAGGATCTAGGAAAGGATCCAGGAATCCAAGATCCATCAAAGAAGGATCTAGGAAAGCATCAGGAATCCAGGATCCATCAAAGAAGGATTCAGGATCCATCAAAGAAAGATCCAGGAAAGCATCCAGGAATCCAGGAACCATCAAAGAAGGATCCAGAAAAGGATCCAGGAATCCAGGAGCCATCAAAAGATCCAGAAAAGGATCCAGGAAAGTATCCAAGAATCCAAGATCCATCAACGAAGGATCCAGGATCCATCAAAGAAGGATTCAGGAAAGTATCCAAGAATCCAAGATCCATCAACGAAGGATCCAGGATCCATCAAAGAAGGATTCAGGAAAGTATCCAAGAATCCAAGATCCATCAACGAAGGATCCAGGATCCATCAAAGAAGGATTCAGGAAAGTATCCAAGAATCCAAGATCCATCAACGAAGGATCCAGGATCCATCAAAGAAGGATTCAGGAAAGTATCCAAGAATCCAAGATCCATCAAAGAAGGATTCAGAAGAGGATCCAGAAAACCAAGATCCATCCAAGAAGGATCCAAGAATCCAAGATCCATCAAAGAAGGATCCAGAAGAGGATCCAGGAAACCAAGATCCATCCAAGAAGGATCCAGGAAACCAAGATCCATCAAAGAAGGATTCAGGAAAGCATCCAGAAAAGTTTCCTTCTTATGAAGTTCAAGCGTAAAATTGAAAATTTAAAATTCTATTTCAAATTTCGTTTGATTTACAATGTAAATTTCAAATGGAAGTTCAAATTTCCTTTAGAATGCAAAAAATTTAAAAGTTTTTCCACATTTTTTCTCTCTAGATTTACATTTTGCAATTAACATTTTATAACTTTTAGCTTTATCTTTTGAATAAATTTTCTTATCAAAAAGTTTCATCATTACTCTAAACCATATTTCTACATTTCGAAACTCAACTCCAACTCCAAGTATTGCATTTTTTGTTGAAATTCTTTTCGTTCCCTGTTGGCGTTGATCTTTCTGATCTTTCTGAAGCTGATCTTTAAAGAACAAGATCAAAATTGGAAAAAAACCCTTGATAGACTAGAAACTAGAAAGGAAAACCTAATTCCCCTGTTTTTCTGAGTTCCCCAGAAAAATTGAGTCCAAAAAAAGTCGCCTTTTCAGCTGTTCTTTCGAAACGGGAACGGTGCTGATCTTTTCTCTAAAACTCTCGGAAAATTTCGCTATTTTTCGTGAAAATCCCTGCGTTTCTCCAGTTTTCCCCAACTTTTTTCACATTTTTCTCTAAATTCTTGATATTTTTCAGTATTTTTCCATAAGATCAGCACCAAACCCAGCCCCTTTTTGAGGATTTCTTTTCGAAAAGACGACTATAAAGAGTCGATGATTCTGAGGGAAATTTTATGCATTCAAAACATTCAAAGCCTTTAAAAACCTTTTAAGACCGTTCAAAACCTTTTAAAATCGTTCAAAATCGTTCAAAACCTTTCTAAACCTTTGTAAATCTTTTAAAACCGTTCAAAACCATTCAAAACCATTCTAAACCATTCTCAACCATTCAAAACCATTTAAAACCTTTCTAAACCTTTCTAAACCTTTAAAAACCTTTTAAAACCTTTTAAAACCGTTCAAAACCTTTCTAAACCTTTCTAAACCATTCTAAACCATTCTCAACCATTCAAAACCATTCAAAACCTTTCTAAACCTTTTAAAACCTTTTAAAACCTTTTAAAACCGTTCAAAACCTTTCTAAACCTTTCTAAACCTTTCTAAACCTTTCTAAACCATTCAAAACCATTCTAAACCTTTTAAAACCGTTCAAAACCTTGCAAAATCCTTTAAAGCTGAATTTAAAGCTCCTTTAAAGCTCCTTTAAAGTTCCTTTATAGTTCCTATTTAGTTCCTATTTAGTTCCTTGATAGCTCCATTTTTTCAAAAATTTAGCATTAAATTTGTTCTTGGTATCGAAAACTTTGAAAATTACTTGTATTCAATCATTTACAAATCAAAAAAATCAAAATTTCACTGAAACTATCGCAAAATTTGATTTGATTCGATTTCCCAATGTTATTTGAATGTTGTTTTGGGAATTTTCGGGCAAAAATGCATTAGATTTTGAAAGAGAAGTTTTGAAAATTGTTAAACAAATCAAAGAAAGATTCAATTTCTATTTGAATTTTTCTTCTAAAGCTCTATTTTTAAGGCTTTATTTGAGAGATTTTCGAAATTTGAGCAATTTCCGAAATTTTTGAGCTTTTTCGATACAAATTCCAAGTTCTAAGCTATTGAAAATGTTGAAAATGTTGGTTTTTTTAAAAACTTTAGACCAAAACCCTTTTAAATTGAAAAAAATCTCATTTCTAGTTTTTTAATAGCTTAAATTTTGATTTAAAACCTTTATTTTGTAAGGTTGAAAAGTTTAAAAAAACAGCAAAAAGTACTTACCGTAAATACTGTAATAGTACCCCAACGCTATAATGACGGTGCGGAGTATCGCGTAGTCTAGCTTTGAACGAGTTTTTCTTGACACTGGCTTATGCTACAATGCTCGTTTAAATATCAAAAAATAGCCCTGAATTTCAGGGCTATTTTTTGATATAAAAACTTTTGCGACTACGCGACTGTACGAGGGCGGTGGGGTCCAACTACAGTATTTACGGTGGTTCAATTAATGCATTTATTAGTTTTAAATGAAAGTATGAAAGGATTCGAAAGACTTTCTGAACCTAATGTGCCCGTCTACTTTACCTTATTCTTGCGCATTGTCCGATTGAAACTTTTGATATCAAACAACAGAAGAAACTTGACGAATTTATTGATACCAAATTGTTTCATCGGTTAATGCACGAGCATCACGTAGTCTAACTTTAAACGCATTTTTCTCGTCATCCGTTTATAATGACGGCCGGAGCATCGCGTAGTCGAGCTTTGAACGAGTTTTTCTCGACACTGGTTTATGCTACAATGCTCGTTTAAATATCAAAAAATAGCCCTGAATCTCAGCTATTTTTTGATACCAAAGACGATTTTTGAAAGTACGGGCCTTTGAAAAAAGATCAAATATTAAAAAGCTTTTGCGACTACGCGACTGTACGAGGGGGGCTGGGGTACAATTACAGTATTTACGGTAACTTTTCCGACTTTTAAAACTTTAAATCAAACTTTTTTTTATCATTCGCTTCTATTTTTTTTGAAATTTCCTTTATACTTTTTAAAATTTAAATCAAAATTTCAGATTTTCGCAACAATGCAACCAGTACGCTTTAAGATTTACCAAGGAAAACAGGTGAGAAACAGGAAAACAGATATCAAATTTGTTCACTCTATCATCCAAAATCAATTCTAATCATTGAATTCTACAGGCTCGTCGTTTCCGTTTGAATTACGAAGAGGAACCGAAGAAATTCTTCGCTCTTCTCAACGGAAAGTTGGCCGATTTGGGTTTTACAGGAAAAGGACTCCGGTGGATTGACGGAGATGATGATGAGGTGGGGAAATAAAAATGATTTTGTTTATCCTTTTTTCTTCCCTCTTTTCTTTTCTTTCTTTCTTTCTATCCGCCCAGTTTCAATTTTTCATTCTTATTCTTATAAGAAATCAGTGTCCAGTTTAAAGAAACTACTAAAGTAAGCAATTTTAGATTCATTGCCTCAACCACGACGATCTCTTAGAGGCTTTGACCTATTCGAACGGTGAAGAGATTCTTCTTCGTGCGAAGAAAGACAAAAAGTTAAAGAAAGAGGAATCGGAAAGTGATAGTGAGAGTGAATCGGAAGACTCGGACGATGATGATGAAAGTGATGAAGAAGAAGGAGAATGAGGGGACTTTGGTGAAAGGTGATCAGAAAGGTGATGAGAAAGGAATGGAGAAGAAAGGACATGGAGGACATGGGAAACACGGACATCACAAGGGGCATTGTCATCATGGAGGACATCATGGAGGACATCATGGCAGGGGTGGAAGAGGAGGTGAGTCCAGGAATTGAGATAGATAAGGGCCCAGGGTTGATCATAGGCTGTGGTCAAGCTGGTTCTGGGCCTTCAAGTAAGCCTGGATTTGGTTCCTGGCTTGACTGACTCGCAAAAGTCATGAATCTGAACCAGAAGCTAGCTGTTTGCAACCAGATTTGCGCAGGTTCCTGGCTGAGCCTGGGCTTGGATCTGTCTTCATCCAGACCTGGGTCAGAAGCTGGCTGAGTCTGGGGCTGTCTGGCCAAGCTCCAGCCTGAATCTTCAGATTTTGACTAGCACTGGCTAAGAGCTGGACCTGAACCTGACTCTTGATCTGGTCTTGGCCTGGGTTATCCAGTTGGAAGATCTTTCCTCATAATCCTTGGAACCTGATTTAGATAAGATACAGACTATTTCACCCATAGCATCTCAAATTTCAGGTCGAGGGCATTGCCGTCCTGCTCGTCCATTCTTCGCGGTTTGTTACCCGTTGCCACCGAGGCACGGCCGTGGGGGACACGGTGGACCACCGCACGGTCGACATGGACCATTCGGACCACACCACGGGCCACATCATGGAGGACATCATGGTGGACCTCACCATGGAGGACATGGACCACACCATGGTCCACATCACGGACCTCACCATGGCCCACATCATGGACCCCATTCTCGTGGACCACATGGCCAGGAGAAGCCATTTGAGAGTGACTCGGGCTCGGATTTCGAGTGCTGCTCGATGAGATCTGGTGGGTGAATTGATAAAGCTACATCTAATTAATTGATTACGGTAATTGCTGGAGACGGAAAATTTTATTTTTCGGGTTCTATAGTAATTGAGTTAACAGCAAGTAGTACTTTAGTAGAGTTGCCGTTGTACCGTACTATAGAAGGATAATAAAGGCTATTGTCACAAGAAGAGTATCACGGGGTACTGTACTTATTTTCCTTGATCCACTACATTAAGTACTAATAGGTACAGTACCCCGTAATACTCTTCTAAAAGTAGAAAGACGAGAAGTTCTCTGTAATGGGATACTGTAGTAGAATAGAGGTACTGTATCTAGTGTCAAATTCGTCTGTGAAATGGTTTCGATAGAGTAGCTCTACTCTCCTACTTCGGTAGAGTAACTACTGTAATTGTCGCTGTAGAAGTGTAGCATACAATCACGAGCTACCGGAGGACCACGCGGGCGCCTACGGCAGTCGGGGCCGCGGGCCGGGTCGCGGCCGGGGTCCCGCGGGCCCGTCGCCCCGTCGGTCGCGTCGGTGCTCAGTCGGTCGTCGTGCCGTGGGGTCGGTGTGTGTACAATCAATAAGTGGGTACTGTAAGCAGTAGGAATAGTCTATGCAGGTCAAAGCAACAAAATTTCAATTTTTAGGTATGATGGCCCCACCAGGTGGCCCAATGGGTTTCATGGGTCCAAGAATGGGTTTTGGAATGGGTGGAATGACCGGCATGATGCCTGCACCTCAAATTCCGCATTGTCCCGTCGAGGAAGATTTCGCCTGTATGTCAATCGGATCATCAAAGAAAATGAAAAAAGACAAGAAAAATTGAGTTTTTTGATTGAAAAATTGAGAATATGTGATTGTTTTCATAAAAGAAAAAACCCCTAAAAATGATCTTCAATCGAGCAACCGGTCTATTTTTTTTTTTGACATAATTTTCTTTAATTTTCTCCAACTTTTACTCAACAATTGCAATTGTAAATAAATAGATTTAGTAATTTTTTGAAAAAAAAGCATAAAATTCAGCTTGTAACACACATAAACATTTTCCCTTTTGCACACCAATTTAGGCCCAGCACAGCTGTCTTTTTCAGAGAATAGTCAATTTTCAAAATTTACATTAAAAAATGTGCCTACGTGGCTTTCTCTTTCAACTCAGAGCTTTGATGCCAAAATCGGAGTAAACACTTTGAGCAAAACGGGAGATTTGTTCTCATTTTTTTCAGATTATTGACCGACTTTTTCGTTGAACACATATTTGTTCGTATCCATGGTAAGCAGAAAAAGAAAATAAATAAATTGGTGAAAATTTGGTTTACAAAACAGCTGTTTGAGAAGGGATTTGATTGAAAATCGAACAAAATCCGTTTTCTAAAGGTTATCGGACGCCCCGCCCCTTTTGCTATTGCCATAACTTTGAGCTTAAATATCTTAGCGTTGGGCTATTCAATTCCAATATTCTTGATATCATTAGCTACGACAAGTCTTTCTCTGTCGATTGCTACAAAAACTATTTATATTGTACACCTGAGGCCAAGAAATTTGGGCTCAAAGTTAGATTGCCAATGGCAAAGGGGCCGGGGCGACCTTTTATACGCGCCCGCCCCTTTTGTCATTGGCAACTTTGAGCCCAAATATCTCGGTGTTGAGCTGTCCAATTTCAATCTTCTTGGTATCATTAGATTCGTCAAGTCTTTCTCTGTCGATTGGTATAAAAACTATTTAAATTGAACAGCCTAACACCTAGAAATTTAAGCTCAAAGTTTGATTACCAAAGCGACAAAGGGGACAGGGCGCCTATCAAATGTCAAAGTAAAACAGTTAACGACTACAAGACTGTACGCGTAAAACGTTAATCTGTTGCTAAACAAAGAACTTCAGGCTATGGGCCTAAGATTTAAGCACCGTAGAATCTAGAACCTCATTAGTTTATACTTATTACAGTGTTTGCGCTCAAATCCTCAAACTGAACTCCTCATTTTTCTCGTGAAACCACGGGAAAAATGAAAGAATTCAGTGTGCCAGAAAGAATGCGTTTACAAAATTCAAGCACAAATTGCGTGACCAATTTTGGCATCAAAGCTCTTAATGCTTTTGAGGGAAAACCCAATCAAAACCAAGAAATGATCAACTCCATCAGAAAAGTGGGAAAATAAACTCCTCACTCAAAAAGTTTTTCCAAGCAAGCAAGCAAACAAAAAAGAAAAAAAAACGCGGCACAAATAACATTTTCCGTCTCAAAGATCTCACTTGAGTGAATGACCAATACCGTTTGTTTATTTGGTCAAAAGTTTGAATGTTTTTTTGCTTTAAACTTTAGGGAATTGGGGATTTGAAGGGATTTTTTTTTAAAAGGCACCAATTTTAGACAAAATTACCGTAATTTTGCCATTCGATCAGCCTAATTTTGGTATCATTTGATAAGGGAAACACTAAGGATAATGATACAAAAATTGGGCTGATTGGATGAAAACTGGCGGTTGGTGGATTACGGTAATTTGTCTGAAATTGGCGTCTTTAACATATTGGCGACAATACGGTTCGGCAATGTTTTCATAGGATTTTTCTGAGTACCTTTTTTAGATGCGGAAAATTGTGCTGATTCCGAATCTGAAGGAATTTTCCAAATCCCTCTAACAGAAATTTTTTAACTTGAGTTTTAGCGGTTTTTTGGTCATTTTTGTATGGGAAATTTTGTGGTACCCTGCAGTTTGGAGCGTAACTGACAACGAGGGTCTAGAACCAAAACAAAGGGATAAGTTTTATTCTAGAGACTCTTACAAAATTTTGTGAAAATCATAATTTGCTCAACCTACAATTTAACATTTTTTAAAAGAATGAAAAATTTAAAGTCTCTATTGCAAATTGTTTTGTCAAAAGAACAATGTAGCTATGTATCGTATTCACTCAAAACAATTAAGGAATATGCAAATATGCTCAAGTGCGGGGGAACAAACCAACAACCCCATACTTTGCGCGGGTTCACGTCGCGCCTTGCCACTCGGCACGGTTTCCCTTATGTTTTTAATGTATTTTGCAAATTTCTTTAAAGATGTTATAACTTTTTGTAGAGTTGAGCAAATTTTTTGATTTTTGCATCAAAATGTTCGTAAGAGTCTCTAGTCTGAAAATTTGCACCAGGGGTTTTCGGGATCAATGAATTCGAATTTGTGCTTGGTTTTCAAAGAAAGCAGCTCTATTCGATATTTCATTCGGTTTAATTAGCGAAATTTTTAGAGGACGGTCATCACAAGTTTTGTGATGACCGTATTAGCTTTGAAATTAAAGTTTTGCTCAAAAAGTAATAACGAATTCAGTTTCTCTATCCCAGAATGCCACCCGGTTACAAATTTTCAGGTCTACAGCTAACTAAAATAGCTGTATACTCGTACAAAAGTCATTAGTCCCTAGCTTTTCTTTTCTAAGAAGCTAAGCTTTTCTGAGCTAAGCTTTTCTAAGCTTTTCTTTTCTCACATGATCTCAAATGTAACTAATTATTGGAATTCCATAAAAAGCTCACAATATCAATGTCCCTTTTGTCCCTCCTCGACTCGGTTGCATTGCCCGCGAAGTTAACGCCATTTTCAATTGTTGCTCATCAATGCCGAGAAGACGAGAAGCGAAATTGCAAGAGATCTCACACCCTGGCGCCATTTTACTTCCATCTAAACATTGCATAAGATAAATATAACTATCGTAAAGCTAAAAATCAACCTAAATACCATATTTTGCAGTTAGAGAAACCTTTAAAACTTAGTAGACTCTTTAAAATTCATTCTGATAAACCAAAGAACAAGAGCCTAAGAGCTTTTGAAGGATTGATTACATACGGAGACATTGAAAAATCATTTTTTTTGGTACATAGCTTTTCATAAGTTTTTGCCTTATTGTAGTATCAATTTTCTAAAAATTTTTACCTTTTCCCCCATCCTCGTTCGCCACAAAGTCCACATTGCCGAGATGAAGCACAGCAGCAACAATGCTGGAAATTAGTGAACTTTGTTTGCTCGAAATTACTTTTTTTTTTTTTATTATAAATTAAAAAAATATAAAAAAAAAAAAAAAAAAAAAAAAAAAAAAAAAAAAAAAAATCAAAAAAAAAAATATTTTATTTTTTTTTTTTTTAAAAAAAAAAATATTAAAATAAAAAAAAAAAAAAAAAAAAAAAAAAAAAATTTTTTTTTAAAAAAAAATTTTAAAAAAAAAAAAAAAAAAAAAAAAAATTTTAAAAAAAAAAAAAAAATAAAAAAATTTAATAAAAAAAAAAAAAAAAAAAAAAATTTTTTAAATTTTTTTATTTTTTAAAAAAAAAAAAAAAATTTAAAAATTTTATAAATATTAAAAATAATATTACAATTTGAATATTACAATAGGTTGGACCATCCAGTTTTCGAAAAAAAGTCCAACCCAAGCCAGTTTTCGTTACTTTCTTTCTATAGTTGCTGTCTATCAACCCAAAAACTAGTTGGAGCTAAGTCGGCGCCGGGATTCGAACCCAGCGATCTCTCGCTTACCGGGCAAACGCTCTACCAATGAGCTACCGACACGTATCTCATTGCCGTATAAGGCCTTATGCCTTACTAACTTTTTAAAACTGTCAAAGCCTCTAATATTCATAAAACCCACCCAATTACTTGCATGATCATCTCTCGATTCAATCCGCATTTCCCGAGGCAGCTGAGAAGATTCCGGAAATCGGCCGAATCGTCAACGACCGGATCAATGGTGGTTGAAGCCTGGAATGAAATTAATGCACCAGAAATGATGTGTTTAGAAGTCTGAGCTCAAAGTACATAAGAAACAGGGGGTATAGTAGTTGAAGTTCTAGTAGCAAAATCTTTTTTCGACAAATGAGCTGATTTTTTGCATCCAGGGGTTTTTGACTGTGCTGAATCGATTGGTTTCACACATTTCACAACTTTTAACGTTTATAACAAATCTACTGAAAACCTAATGTACTTATTCTGGGATGAAGTGGCCAAAAAGTACTTGTTGACATTTTCTTGTTGTTATTTTTGTTGCTATTTGTTATAAACGTTATTAAAAGTTGTGTGAAACCATCACCAATCGATTCAGTATAGTCAAAAACCCTTGGATGCAAAAAAATCAGCTCATTTGGCGAAAAAAATCTTTTGCCTATAACATCTATAGCACCAAGAAACTTATAAAGAGCAAAAACAAACCCCTTTCCCGAAACGTTCCTTCAGAATTTTGTTCTCATTGCCTGGGCGAGCGAAAAAGTTCATTGAGCCTCGGCGGAGATACTAAAATTGATGATAGAAAGTGGAAAAAAATGCAATCTTACATGAAATTTCTCCGGTGAACCGAGTCCAAACGTTTTATACATTCCCTCATCAGCTCCAGCGATCAATTGATAGAAAATGTGATAGTTTCGCTCTCCTAAATATGACTTTTGTTGAGTAATTACCGTAAATATTGTAATAGTACCCCACCGCCCCCCTCGTACACTCGCGTAGTCGCAAAAGTCTTTTAGTATTTCATTTTTTTCAAAGCGCCCGTACTTTCCGCCCGTACTTTCAAAAAAATGCGTCTTTGTTATCAAAAAATAGCTGAGATTCAGGGCCATTTTTTGATACCTAAACGCGCATTGTAGCATAAACCAGTGTCGAGAAAAACTCGTTCAAAACTAGACTACGCAACACTCCGCACCGTCATTATGGGGGTGGGGTACTATTACAGTATTTACGGTAGTAATTACTTACTCGCAAAGAACTCGATTAGAGTGCGTTCTTTGCGAGTAAGTATTTCCAAAACTAAAACCTATCGACCGTGAAATAATATCTTTGATATGAGTAATGGTTAACT